GCCACCGAAGAGGCAACAACTAAAAGGAAAAGGAAGAACCGAAACCAAGAGAGAAAAAAGGAAAAATTGTGTTTTATTTCATCGCCTCTAAGTATAGTCTCCTGTCAACGAAGAAACCCTAGTGGATCGGGACCCAAGCTACGCATTCAGGGGTGCGTGGTGGCGTACATTACCAGCGAACGGACATACTGCCGTGTACGCCAAGAACGTCTGGGAGATTGTCCCAGGTCGACCTCCGGGTACTAGACATACCCTGGTTCTGGTCGTCCGAAACACAATGAAAAACTCTTCGTCGAGAGTTCCATGTAAATAGATTTATTTCTATAATATAATATTAATCTATGTAAGTATCGTATAAATCTAAACTTAATATAAATAAAAATCGGTCAAGTGCGAGTCGAATTCGAACACGAAGGGTTCCGTACCATCATACATGTTCTTTTTATTAAAATGACTTACTCTATTTACCTATGTATTATATTAACTTGGATTATCGATTACGAAAGTTTAAAAATGTTTCTTGTATTATTAATATTTATTATTTGTTGTTATAGCGGCAATAGAAATACATACTTTGTCAAATTTTTAACTCTACATATTATGGTTCATGAGATACAGCCCTCTGACAGACAGACGAACGGACAACGGAAGGTTAGTAATAGGGTTCCCTTGGGAGTACGGAACTCTAAAAATCATTTCACGTCTTACGTCAGATAAAAAAAAATATGGAGACCCAATAATATAATAAAAAGGTCTTCGTCGAGAGACATGTAAATAGATTTAATTCTATAAAGTATCTTATAATCTAGGTTTAATATAAAAAAGTGTGAACGTTTAATATTTTTCTCTAACAAACATAGCCTTAGTGCCTTTGTTTCCTTTTCGTGTTCGTACACTGGGGTGTGGTATTCGTGTTGTTTACATCAATTTTTATAAAGTATTAACAGTAACTAAAGAAACAAGTTGTGAAATCGATATTTGACCTATTTAATAAAATCTTTAATTTTCGTTTGATTGGTACACACGTTTCGTGGGTCCTCATGAATTTTATACGATAGTGTGTTTGTTGGTTTTTGGTTTTTCTTTTCTCAACTAATGGGCGTGAGTTTTTGCATACTGCTCACGTTTTAAGATACCTTAATAGTTCAAGGTGTTTCCTTCAAACATTCGATGTTCTTGCAAAGAGTTAGAAGAAGGTACTTAATAAAATTGTCGATACAATCTTATATGTGTATTGTTTAGCTTGTATGAAATGGCCATACAAATCTACGGTATGTCCGCGAAATTTTGCCAGCTAAATTGCGCTTTTTAACTGGAGCGTGAAGTCATTCATTCAGTTCTTCATCTGGTCGCTCAAACAGATCTGTTCATTTGAGTTATATAGGCATATAGCATCATAGTAGCGTGTGTAGCAACATAATTAGGTTTAATGATTAGTAAGAGTCACCGTCTGATTTTCGCAAAAGGACAATCCGGCTCTGGCTATTTACCTATCCCATATCAAGTCTTCGGTCAGTTCTTACATATAAGTACATATAAAATTACACGTCCTGAATGACTGTTTGATCAACATTCATACCTAAACATTGCACCTAAAGGTATAGGGTAAAATTTTAATAACATATTCCTGCACTGATTGAGATATTTAGTACAGAAGATTCTTTGTAACTCAAGCCTTAAAGATGTTAAAAATGACAAAGCAAAAAAATAAGCATTATTATTCTTAAACGAAATTAATGAAGCACGATGTATTATTTTCGCGAAATATATATTTGAAAACCAGGGTAGGGTCGCTAGATAATTATAATATTATGAAACTCCACCGCACCTTTATTATCTATACATATAATAAAATTCTAAGTCGAATCTGTACATTAAATGTTTTTTGGGAAATCTAATTGAAATACACATTATTATCGATACAGAGTCCGAATCTATAGTTTTTAGAATTTTTGTCTATCTGTCTGTTACCGCATCACGAGAAAATCACTGGACAGATTTTGATGAAATTTGGTATGATGATAGCTGGTTATCCGGGTCAACATATAGGATACTTTTTACCGCGGGAAAATATCTCATTTCTGAGAAAAAAAATACAAAAACACAAAAACTGCATTGTAAGAGTATACTAATAAGTAAAACCTAAGAATTTGGTTGTTGGTCATCTGAACGCGGGCGGAACCGCGGGCAATGCTAGTGTACATATAAGGTGTGCAGTGTTTGAAAGCCATATGTCAGGTTATTTTTTCAACATTTTCTCTTACTAATTGCATTATCACGGTGAGTAGGAAAAAGTATAATAATCCACTTCCTTTTGCAGTAGCGGAAATATTACGACGACATTGACACGAATATACATGCATACATTGAACGTATGTTGTAAACAAGTTTAAAAGAATTTTTGAAATCATTTTGCTTACAGTTTGTTTGCGAACTGATATTGACGTAAGAAATTTTTAATTTTGTATAATTAAAATTTAAAAAACGCTGCCTTCAACATCTCACGATGTTCAAGTTTGACTAACACAATAAATAAATAATACTTTCTTAGATTTACGCGAATATTTGACATTTGAAATAAAAGTATCTTTTCGGATTTTGTCGCGAATTTATTTTGATATTTGGTTCCCGACGTTTCGAATGCTTTACAGCATCCATGGTCACGGGAGAGACTGAGGTGTTACATGTCTCGAAGGTATAGTTGTTACAGACAGCCTACCCACAAATAACAAAATGAAAAACTGCACCAAGTACCTTACAATATTTTTTAACTTTAAACATTTTTATAATTTTAACAATAACAATAAGTAAAGTAAAAAAAATAATGAAAAATACTTCTAAAAAGTATTTGCTGATTAAAATAAATTTGATGAACTATTCTTTGTATGGGAAACAATATGCGGTCAAACTGATATTTGTCCTGACCTTTATGTAAATAACATCGAACATGTTGTTCGAAAATGTGTACATTACATTTCTATATAATTGGTGTAGATTATACTATAATTGTTATATGGTAGCCCAGTGGTAACGCGCTCGCTTGGGAAACCGAGTGAAGCGGTTTCAAATCTCTCGTCGCACCTCTGATATTTTCATGTGCGAATCAATTCTAACATGATTACCACTTATGGTGAAGGATGAATCGTGGTAACCTGCATGTCTCCTAGAACCTAGCAAGTTTTCGAAAGACATGTGAAGTCCGTCAACCCGAACTTGGCCAGCGTGGTGGGCTATGATCTGATGCTTGTACTGAAGAGAACGGTGGTACGTTAAAAAGGCTGAATATGTGTAGGCCGTAACGGGACTTTAATAAAAGTAGTGGACTGTATATAAAGTACGTATAATCAAATTAAGAGTTTTGGGGAAGTGTCCGTAGTCCAGCGCGCAGGTAGGCGAAGTGGCGCGATCAGATGCGCTCGCGGTCGGGGAGGGTCCCCCGCCCGCGCAGCTCATACGTCACGCGCCCGGTAAGAGGGAGACGCGCCGACAGAATACATACTAAAGTATAATATATTTTTTAAATATTTTGATAATCCAGGGTAGAATGCATTTATTCTTAACGTATAATTGAAGAGACTGTCCTTTTTAAAAAAGGAAAAGCACTAACTTTCTAACTTCACAAGCTCAGACGAGCAGAGCCCTTACAAGTCCCGTGTCTTTTATTTAATTGGTTCATTAAATCGTACACATTGTAATTAAACTGTTTAAAATTATATGCAACTGAAGGTGACTTCTACCACGTGTATCCTTAATTTGTCACGATTAATTTAACTTTATCTAATAAGCTGGTAATATTATGTTACATAGTAACATTTGACGTAGGTTTTGTGTCCGTATTTCGTTTAATCTGTTCTGATGTTAAAATAATTATTATTATTTACCCTTATGTAAAATTTTATATAATGAGACCTGCTGTCACTTTGCTGAAGCGTGTCCTTAGATAACTCGCAATTCGTTCAAAGTTCAAATACAATGTTCAAATACAATCTGCTACGAGTAAATATTACACCGTTAAAAATATATATATTTTAAACATTTTATATGCTAAAATATAAAAGATAAATGTGTGGTTTTGTATAGTTTTTGCCATACACTGTTTTTAGACTTGCTAGACAAAAACCGTGACAGCTTTGACCTTAGCTAAAAAACGCAATACAAGTATAGTTTATTTAGTCAGTTAGAAGTAATGACTGTTGCATTCTGGAATAGTATAGGTATTAGCTATCTATTAGTAAAAGAATCTTTTATGACCGAAGAAATTAGGCGCATATCAAGAGGCTAGCAAGTTTTCGAAAGACATGTGAAGTCCGCCAACCCGCACTTGGTCAGCGTGGTGGACTATGGCCTGATCTCCCTCCTATTGAAGTAAGGCCTGTGCCCAGCAGTGAGACGTTATAAGGGACTGAACTGCTTTTTAAGTATATGTGCAGGACCAACTTTTTAACTGTATTAAAATTTATTTAAAGGAAAAGTCCAATTACTGTAATGCTAACGTTATGGGTTGAGATCAGACCCCAGCATCTTACGATTTGCAGTACTAGATAATACGACTAGATAAAGATCGTGCGATGATAATTATTTAAGACGTAATCGTGTGTCTATGTAACTTTACATAATAACTTATAAATAATTTGACAGATCATCATGAATATGCATTATGCATGTTATAAGATGCTTATTACCTACTTATTAGTTTAATTTACGAAGTATACCTTTTAATAAATAAAAAAAAGCTTTAAAAAAATTATTGATTGAGTGGTTCGTCCATATGTTGATTCCCTATACAAACTTTCATCCCCATTTTCACCCCTTTAAGGGATGATTTTCGGGATAAAAAGTAGCCTATGTCCTTCTCAGGGCCTCAAACTATCTTCTTACCACATTTCATCTAAATCGGTTCAGTAGATCCACAGATTACCCCCTACAACGTCACAAACTCACAAAATTTACCTCTTTATAATATTAGTATAGATAATCAATCAATTTAATATTGCTTTCAGCATTCCTAATATGTGAAAAACCAGTGCTATTGGTGAACGTGCATTGCAAGGAGCTGCTCTGTGAAGACGATGCAAACAAGCTACGGGAGATCGCAGATATGCCACTGGCTCGGAAACACCAGGTGGCGTATTTCGGCGAATTCGTGAGATGGGAGAATGTTTTATGTAAGTCCTTACTTATTTTTACAAGATTTAATTTTACTTGTAATGTTTGTTACTTGGTATGTATGTATGGTCCAATTCAAATATCATAGCCTGTTTTTAGAACATCTTTGAACTTGGCTGCTGTGTCCAGAGGTGGCTCCAATTGAGAGATCTCCTCATCAGTCGATTCGAGTCAAAGATATTTTTTTTGTTTTTAATTATGATGATGTTCTCCTAGCCGATTCCGGCCACGGCGGCCAATCTCAATGAGATTAGCCAACTGCGCAGGAAATATTATAGTGCTCAAGTGTACGCGCAGACACAAGTGCACTCTCTATTCCTATCACTCTCATACTCCGGTGGGACGACCACTCGACACGACCGGTGAGAGTTAAGGCGCAGGACCGACGGCTTTACGTGCTCTCCGAGGCACGGGGGTGAAACACCGCCAACTTCCCAACTCCGGGCTGTTACTGAGACTTACTATACAGGAAGACTCAATAACTAAACTTGGCCCGACCCGGGACTCGAACCCAGGACCTCCGGGTGTGTAGCCGTACATGCTAGCCACTACACCACCGAGGCAGATAAAATAATAATTTTAATTATAATAGCCCGTTATAAAGTCCACCATGGCCTGGTGCTGCAACCAGGATATGAGAGATCCCCTCAGCAGTCAAAGGCACAGACACGAAATTTTGTATAAGCATTCAATTATGATTCAATAGATATTGCACCCACACCATTACTTATAACTAAAAGAAAAATAGATAAATTAATAATTATAAAAAATCTAACTTTCGCAGGCTGGTTTAGGAAAGCATAGAGTACAACCCCACCAGCACCCCCCCCCCCCCCCTAACGCGCGTTCACCTTGTCGTGGTGGGAGGCTCAGTAGTGCCCGGCAATACAGCCGGGCGCGAAGCCAAGAAACGCACAGGGAGGTGGCCCACTTCGGTGGGCAGTGAGAGGGGGCCCTCTTCGGAGGGCGGTGTACCATGCGGGTTGCTCCTGGTACTTCTCTGATAGCAGAGTGGACTTTGGAGCAACCCCATGGTCGTTGTGGTCTGCCTCGGCAGACCTACCGTCGGGGCGTCGTAGTTGAATGCGTAAGCGATCCTGCGGCGCCCCATTAAGACGGGGGAAGGTTTTCTTGGGTTTTAGTGGGTAGTACTGGCTTTGCCGGTGAGTCCCACACCTCGGGCGTAAATGCATTTCCCAACGTTAAAAAAAAAGGAAAGCATACAGTAAAAACATACGAACATTCATTTTTATTTATATATGTAGATATATAGATGGTAGATAACTTGAGACCTATCATATATTAATTTAATTCTGTATTTTACGTTGTACATAAAAGTGTCTAACAACACGAATGCATGCTTATATTACGTTCATAATTCACTCGACTTTCTGTCAACGACCGACATCTGAAGTTACAAAAAAATTCCTTTCTTAAAAATTCAAACATACAATATTTATCTTTATACTGCGGCAAATTAGTTTTGTGTAAAAAAGCTTAAAATAGTAAAACTGCACAAATAATTGCAGACGCATCAAACTAATGTTGAGTCACACTGGTGTTAGTTTGTTACTCACTCATCACAACGAACGATACGATAAATACGTTTACAGTAGCTGTTAATTATAATCTATGCATATAATAAAATTGCAACTGAGTCGAATATGTGCACTAAATATTTTTTGGAAAATCTTATCGATACAGAGGCCGAATCTAAAGTTTTTTAGAATTTTTGTCTGTCTGTCTATCTGGGAACGCATCACGAGAAATCCACTGGACAGATTTGTGTTTTGGACGATGATAGCTGGTTATCCGGGTCAACATATGTGTGTTGTCTCCTAGCCGATTCCGGCTACGGCGGCCAATCTCATTGAGATTAGCCAACTGCGCAGGAGATATTATAGTGCTCAAGTGTACGCGCAGACATAAGTGCACTCTCTATTCCTATCACTCTCATACTCCGGTGGGACGACCACTCGACACGACCGGTGAGAGTTAAGGCGCAGGACCGACGGCTTTACGTGCTCTCCGAGGCACGGGGGTGAAACACCGCCAACTTCCCAACTCCGGGCTGTTACTGAGACTTTCTATACAGAAAGTCTCAATAACTAAACTTGGCCCGACCTGGGACTCGAACCCAGGACCTCCGGGTGTGCAGCCGTACATGCTAGCCACTACACCTTTTTACTACGGGAAAATATTTCATCTATGAGAAATCTATATTAAACGTTAAAACGTAACTAGGGACAAATCTGAGCAGAGCGAGGGTGAATCGCTAGCTATAATTATAAAATAAGAAGTAAATATTTTATTTGATATTATTTAATATCGATTACTTTTTTAATAAATGCCTTGATGATATAGATAAAGTACTCATTCAGCTTTTCTTTCATTTTAATCTTGGTGTTCTTTATACGTAGTATATAAATAACTCATGGTTCATGAATATTATATAAATAAATAAATATAATAAAAAATTATAATAATTAAAATAATTGGGTCCCCTATTGTTATTATATTGTTTGTCTGCGATTTTAAAATAGTTAGCTTTTTTTTCTTTTGTATGTTTTTAACCTATGTTTATTGAGATAGTTAAAGGTTGATTGTTCCTATAAAATTACGAGTACTTTTTACATACATATATAATAAATAGGTGATTGGAATGAGAGATCAATTTTCACCATTCTATAAATAAAGCATCCTCAAATCACCTGAGTAAAGAAAAGGTGCTTTTCTATGCTCATGTATGTGGTCAAACTCTGTAAAAAGTAACGCGTGGTCTTCTTAAACTCCATTTAGTAACCCTCTTTTGATGATATAAAATTAAAGACAAACACATGATAATTAAATTAATTAAAGCTTGCAAAATGTAAATTCACTATATAATATTTGATATAATGAATATTTTATCGTGTGTGAATTGCGGATGAATAATGTTTACAAAGTGTAGCAACTTATCCAACTTTATTGGGTGTTTATATTTTATAATATATTATTATTAATGGGACATTAACACACAGCACCTTCTAGTTCCATGGTAAGCTACGAGACCTGTGTTATGGATACCAGATAGTTGACACACTACACATATATAACTTTAAATACGTATATATTATAAATATAAACACCCATGACTGGAGTACAAACATTCGTGCTCATCATACAAGTGAAGTCCCCAGCGGGACTAGAACCCGCGACTGCTGGCACAGCAAGTAGGGTCACTACAAACTGAGTCAAACTTGTCGTCATCATCAATGTATTAAGTGGCAGTATTAAGGTGTAGTTAATGCGTGTAAGTGTATTTAGTATGATTATCTATAATTGTGCGAAGTATAAACATAATTAACAAATAATAAAAAATGACCAAGTGTGAGTTGAACTCACGCTAAGGATTTCAATCAATTATCGATATATGGTTCTATTTTATCGATAAAAACTTAATACAAATACATATTGTTACCCTTTAAAATGTGTTCGTACGTCTGCATTATTTTTAAAACGTAGTTTTATAATTAATTAAGGCATGCAATTTATATTGTTTTACAGATTTTTCTGTACATTAAAATCATTAATAATTATCATTTCCGACGGATCTTAGTAGTCCACCTGTGGTTTTCCCTTCAAGAGAGAGAAATTTGGCAAAGTTTATAACAATTTTGTCATATTTATTATAAGTTATTATATTATATAGTGTAGTTTATTATATTATAAACTTTTTTCATAAGTCATACTAATATGTATTGTGAAACTCAAAACGACTGTCCGGAGTTGGGAGTTTGACTTTGCGGTGTTTCGCCCCCGTGCTTCGGAGATCACGTGTCGCGTCAGTCCTGCACCTAAACTCTCACCGCGAATTATTTAGCAAATAAAAAATGGGTGCGTGTAATCTTTACGCGCGGTTAAAGTAAAAGTTCTTTGGCAAATATCCCAGTTAAATTAAAACAAATCAATAATTAAATAAGGCATATTATAATCATATATTTATAGAATATCATATACGGAAAGAATATAATATTATATTTTTCAAATAATAACAACGGTTACCATAGCAACGATTAGTCTGTGTAATATATGTCTTGGGCACCTCATATTAACGAACTAAGTAAACGTATGCATTTTTCCTTTCATTCTCTCAAGCGTCTCCAATACTTTCTCCCATTCAAAACCAAAATAATGCTAGCGCAATCCATCCTATTACCCATTCTCGACTACGCCGACGTCTGCTTCCTGGATGTGACAGAGGAGCTACTTAATAAACTGGAGCGTCTTCAGAATCTCGCCATACGTTTTATCTTTGGCTTGCGGAAATATGACCACATCTCTGACTTCCGTGCTCAACTTAAGTGGCTCCCCATCCGTCTTCGCCGTAATATGCACACCCTATCATTCCTTTATAATATCCTTAAAAATCAAAATTTCCCTCCTTACCTTCGTTCCCGTTTTAACTTTCTACCAATCCCTACACGTTCCAGAAGATCTTGCAGTACTTCTATGCTCGACATTCCTAGGAGCAATACTAAATTCCAACAAAACTCTTTTTCTGTCCATGCCGCAGTACTATGGAACCAACTGCCCAAATCCATCCATGAGAGCCCATCTATTCATGTTTTTAAATGTAAATTAAAAAATTATTTATTCTCACAAATGTAGACAATATCAATCAGTACCTTTCTCCATTTTCATATTTTATATATTAACTATGTATATGTATATATGTTTGTATGTATAAGTAGTCTTTACATTAGGTATTATATATGTATAGTATTATATATTTTTGTATATATGTATGTATATATGTATGTATGTATGTATGTATGTATGTATGTATGTATGTATGTATAAGTGGTTATTATTACCTTTATTTCTAGTATATATTTAGTTTTTTTTTTTTGCACTATATTGCCCGCTGACATCTTCTTCCACAACCAGGGTTGACTGGAAGAGATCTCTTTTAGAGATAAGTCCACCTTTGTGAACTATGTTTACTTTGTTATTTTTT